GCGCTGCCCCGGGGAGGGGCCGGGGGGCGGGAGCCAGCCGGGAGCCAGCAGGGGCAGCTTCTCTGTACTCTCCACGGGGAGGGCAGTGGTGGGGAGGCAGAGGCTGCGGTGTCCTTCAGTGGCTCCGACCAAGCCGGGGCTTTTGTCCCTCTCACGGTCTCCCGGGGGAGAAGGCAGGAGTACCAGGAAGACCTCGGAGGAGGCGCCCAGGAAGCAGGGCTCTGGGGCCATGTCAGAACAGGACATGCCCAAGGCCCCGCCATGAGTCAGCTGAGACTGCAAAGCCCACTTCTGGGTCCCCTCTGTAGGGGACAGGTGGCCACTGGTAGGGGTCAGAGTCCACAGAAGGTCAGGTCAGGCTGGTTACCCTGGATGTTCCTGTATCCCCACAGGCGCCACTGCCTCAGGGCAGATAGAGAGCCACCACCACGTAGATGACCCAGCTGGTGGACACGAAGACCCCGAAGAGCAGGCTGAAGAGCACCAGCGAGCGAGCCTTCCGTGAGGCCACCTCGGCCTGGGCCAGGTCGCCCCTGCCCAGGGCTGCACGGGTCTGTAACGAGATGGGTGGACATAGAGCCCCTGCTCCTCCAAGGAGACACCATCCGCGCCTGGCCCCATTCCACAGACTAGAAAACTGACACCCTGCCAATTCAGGGTGCTGCCAGCCCGCAGCTTGTAAGGGAGTAAGAGTGATGGCCTCTTTACGCCCCACACGGGGCACCAACCATTGTCCTTCCCGTTCCCTCCCGGCGTCCTTCACTGCAACCCTGAGGCGGGGTCATTGCTGTCCCCACTTTGCAGATGGAAGGAAGGCTCAGAGAGGTTGAGCGGCCTGCAGAGTCCCACTGAGCACCCCTAAGGGCTGCTCAGAGTCCCCACTGACCTGGCTTGCTTATGACCTGAGGGCCTGAGCAGCGAAGAGGGCTAGGACAGGTGACTGTGAGCACAGGCCCTGGAACCTGCCCACGTCTGCCCTGGGTGCCATCACTCTGGCCTCGCTGACCCCACCGCGACCCTGTGCTGGGGTGTGCCCCACAGCAGGAGGGAGGGCAGAGGGAGGGTGAAGGGAGGGACGGCACGATGGTGGGTGGTGGGCGGAGGGGTGGTGAGTGAACAGAGGGTGAGCAGAGAGGTGGACGAGAGGTCGAGGCTAGGGAGAGGCCGGTGGTGGGGAGGCGGGTGGGTGTGGAGGGGTGGAGAGAGCGGGACAGTCGAGGCTAGGGAGAGGCCGGTGGTGGGGAGGCGGGTGGGTGTGGAGGGGTGGAGAGAGCGGGAAGGTGGACCGAAATGGAGACCGGAGAGATGGGGATGGCTGGGTGGACGGATAAAGGGGTGGGCGGATGGGGACAGGGGCGGGGGAATAAACAGATGGGAGGG